GAGAGAGGGAGAGAAATTGATTGGCTGCCTCCTGCCTCCTTTCGATTGAGCCCGAAACCTGGGGAACGTGCCCTGACCTGGAATCGAACTGGTGACCTCCTGGTTCATGGGTCAACCACACCAGCTGGGCAAACTGTCAATGTTTCAGGCTCTGCAGGCCAAACAGCCTCCACCACAAGGACTCAATGCGTGGGGCCGTGTCCCAATAAAACTTTATTTATGGACACCAATGGAAGTTTCATGTCATCTTCATGGTCCTAAAATATCATGCTTCTTTGGACTTAATTCAACCATTTAAAGAGGTAAAAGCCATTCCTAACTCACAGACCACACGAGAAGGCCCAGCAGGCCGCTGGCTGCAGTTTGCCAACCCCTGATCTAGAAGTAGTCCATTGACTTGAGACCAGAAAAATTAACCAACGGTAAAATCCAAGTGATCAGATGAGAACTCCATTGGAAACACTTAGACGCTACTGCCTCCACTCGCTCACCTGCACTGGCCACAGAGCGGGACACGGGCGTGGAACTGTTCACAGAGTGGAACGGAAACCCTAAATGACTCCCTGAAAGTGATTTTGGATCCTTATCTGCCTCCGAGTCTGTCTCAGACAACATGGCAAAGCAGCAGGACACAGGCACGTTGTGAGGGGCCTCCCGGAACGGTTCGAATGCTTTGTTCGTTTCTTGCCAGCCTTTCAAATTCAGAACATCGCCCATAAAAACCCAGCTTATCGCTCTCTTGGAAAAGTAATTACAAAATGTGGACGCGACTGGGCCCACAGGTTGGCATGGCAACCATCTACTCCTGCTGGACAAGGCTACCCAGGGAAATGGGGCATGCCGGCCCTCAACCCCTAACCCTGTCCTCGGGGAGGTAACTAGCTGTCCCCACAGACAGGTGAGCTTAGGGCCCCTGGTCTAAGATCCTTAGAAATCTCTTCTTATTTCTCTCTCACAATGTGGCTTCTACCTCTTTCTGAAGACCTGACATGGGAAAATGGTGAAATCGCTCCGCTCTCTCACCAGCTCTCAAAATTCAACCCCCCAATACCCCGGGCCTTAGAAATGAATGACATCATTAGTTCTCATGTGCCAAGTTTGCCAGGTATCAGCCCGAGAGGTGTTTCGATCTAATCCCCTCCTCAGTATGGTCTCAGTTCGAACCACAGTCTCCAAAGAAGGCAGACAAGTGACAAATGGCCCTTCAGGTCCTCTTACCCTTGGAGCTGACCAAGACGGAGAGGCTCGATGAGATAGAGCGAGGGCACTCACCTCAGAGCGTCTTAATTAAGCGGGGTGATCAATAGCACGCGCCGTGATTAGAAAACACGGTTGGGGCTGATGGGTAAACACAACACAGGCCGGTCTGCAGAGGGTCAGAAGCTAGAAGCCCTATATTTTTTTTTTTTTTTTTTGGGGGGGGGGGAAGAGGGACAACCTCAAGAACATGCAGAAAAAGCTGGTAACTAGAGGTTAATCCGAGTCCATGATTAACCCACGGTGTGATTTCACCTTACATCCCCGTTAAACACACAGTATATTTTGGGGTGGCAGACTTCCGACAATTACATGTCGGTTGATATGTTGTACATGACCTTCTGACTGGTTAAAAAACAAAAACAAAAACTGAGATTGTATCCAGGAAAAGAAAAACTCCAGAAATATGGATAATGGGACGCCAAGTCACTTGAGTAACCTAAGGCCTTTCTTAAAACGTGTGTGTGTGTGTGTGTGTGTGTGTGTGTAATTTGTTGGCTACATCAGAAAAAAAGAACTGTTCAAACAGATTTCTCCACTTGAAAATAAAATGGAAATTAGCCCTTAGGAAGAGAGAAAAAAGAGAGAGAGAGAGAGATGACTTTAAGTTTATACATCAGTGGCTGGCTCATGAATTATTAACTGATTTTAATGATCCTGGCCATATTTTATTTGAAGTTCTTCTGCTACTTGCTAGGACTTTTGAACCCTCAGCACTCTTTCATCCATTCTGCACGGACAGAGCGCACTTTCACGGCGCTGACATTTAAAAAGGGCCCATCTCCTCGCCGCACGTAAAGATAATATACACGCACATGATTTCCACAAAGGACCCTGGTCCTGTGTTAGAGAGGGAGATGAATGAAGCCCTGTTATTCACGGTGTGTAAATACATTGCAAGATAAGCGCTAACTTTTCCCTCGTTCAGCCCGGAGCCCGGGAGGGTTCTGTGTTGCTCTTTAAGTTTCCCAGATGGTCATTAAAACGAGAGAGGGCAGGGACCCGCTGCCTTTCCGATCCATCACTTCCCATCCCCAAAGATAATACGTGTCACCGAGGTAAGTCTCAAAGGTAGGCGCGAGAAGAGGTACTTGGAAATAAAATAAACGTGTGTCTGTGGCATGCTGGTGTTCACATCATCATAGCGCTCCCTCACACGCCCATGGTAGCGGTGAAACAAACACTATAAACCTTTCATTAGCACTTGCTGTTTTACACCCATGTTAATACTTCCTCTTCTACTCCTTTCTCCCCATAAAGAAGGGGGGGGGGGGGGACTTACAGGGAATAAAATTGGGTTTTTCACTCCTGAAATGAACAGTAGGCAAGAGAGCTGGGTGGCTCCGTTTAAAGATGTGTGTGCGTGTGTGTGTGTGTGTGTGTGTGTGTGAGAGAGAGAGAGAGAGAGAGAAAGAGAGAGAGAGGGAGAGAGAGAAAGAGAGAGAGGGAGAGAGATTTTTTTTTAACTTGCAAGGAGTAAGTGCAAACATCCCGTAAAATAAATATAATTTGATTCCTACCAATAAGGACCGCTGGCTGTGCCTAACTTTCCCAAGCTGGGGACCCATGGCACCCTGGGGACGACCGGCTGCTGAGTTACTAACCGGCCCAGTTATTTCGGGCAAATCGCTGCCCTCAGAACACATGACAATAAACCAGCGGCCTCCCCGCGCCCAGGGAAGCAGGCACCTCCATACATCATGTCTGTGCCCCAGCTCCCTCTGTACATCTCCCTGCAATACACGTTCTGCCTTTAAATGGACTCCAAATAGCCTTCCTCAACAAAATAAAAATAAAAAGGGACTCTCTCTCTCTCTCTCTCTCTCTCTCTCTCACACACACACACACACACACACACACACACACACACACACACAGAATGTCCTGGGGTCCCCGGAGCCCAGGAGAGCAGAGAGCTTTGCAGGCAGCCCCTGGATGGATACAAAGGGTTTCTATTCTGGTGTCACTCAGTGTTGCGGATCTTAAGTTGCAGAAAGTGGTTACATGAGGCCAGGTAATGGTTTCCAAACATAAGAGCCTGCGCAGCGGACAGAAGCCGGTGCACGGAGATAAACGGGACCCCCCTGAGCAATTAGGGGGAGCCTCCGACACATGCTCCCCCCCTCATTAGGCGGCGCGAGTCCCTCTCGGGGTGTGCATTGGGGACTTTTTATAGAGCATCTCCTAACTCTGAGAGCCAGTCCTCATCAGAGGACAGACACGCTGAGACCTCAGCTCGGGCCTCAGGGCCTCCTCCCCTAGTTCTCCGCGTTAGAGTATCCTTCTTGGGGTTTGGAGATCGGGAGCCCCCACCAGCAGGGAAGGGTGAAAACCCCACTGAATAAGGTCCCCTCCTTCGGTGGGAACCGCTCTGGGCCAGGCACGGGCTCTGGTGGCAAGGGGGTGAGGAAGAGAGACCCCGAAGCCCCTGGCACAAACTTCGGCCCCGGAGTCAGGCGGGAGCATCAACAAACACGCAGGAGCGCGAGGCTGGCCAGACCGCGGGGGCGCAGCAGCCGCTCCCCCTCTCCATGTATCCCTCCTCCTCCCGCTGTGTGCCTCAGTCCGGTACCCCACCTTCTCCCACTATCCAAGGCGCCCCAAACCCCACCTTCTCCCACTATCCAAGGCGCCCCAAACCCACCTTCTCCCACTATCCAAGGCGCCCCAAACCCCACCTTCTCCCACTATCCAAGGCGCCCCAAACCCCACTTCTCCCACTATCCAAGGCGCCCCAAACCCACCTTCTCCCACTATCCAAGGCGCCCCAAACCCCACCTTCTCCCACTATCCAAGGCGCCCCAAACAAACCACGATCAGAAAGAAACGGGGGGGGGGGGGGAGGCGCAGGGGCGGGGAAGGAGGAGAAAGAAGACCCTCTTGCTCGGAAACGGCAGGAGCCATTGGGGCGCAGCGCTGCCTCCGAAGGTCGCTGGGGGGGGGGGGGGGGGGGGGGGAATCGGCCCCATGGGCTTCGGGGAGGGAGGGAGGGACACCCCGAGTCCGCGCCCTGGCCGGAGGGCTGGGGCTCCGGCACCCAGGGCCCTTCCTGAGATCCAGAAATGCCCGGCCCCCCAAGGCGCCCAGAGGGGGGGGGGGGACCCAGGGCGTGGCGAGCGGGCCTCCCACCCTGCTCTCCCCAAAAGGCACACCTGACCCCCCACCCCCCCAAACATCACAGCTGAGGAGTCCCGGTGCCCGCGGAGGGGCGGCCACAGCCACCTGCAGGGTCCCGCCCGCCCCCGCCCCTCCCCACCGGGGCTGCTCAAAAGTTTGTTCCTCCCCGTCCCCGGGGCCGGGGAGCGGCATGAGGGGCTGGGAGCCGGGCAGCGAGGTCCTCGGACCCCGAGCCCCGGGGAGCCCCGCGCCCTGCCCCCCGGGGGCCCGGCTGCGTCCCCAATAACAACAACAAAGGCCGCGCCGCCCGCCTCCCTCCGCCCCCTGCGCCCGGCTTCTCCGGGGCGAGCGGAGCCCGGCGGCTGGGGCGCGGGGGGCAGGAGAGCTGGGGCACAGGGGCAGGGAGAGGGGGTGCCCAGAGGCACAGAAAGGGGGCGGGAAGGGGCTGGAGGAGCAGAGGAGAGTTGGACGGAGCGGAGGCGCGGGGAGGGGAGGGGAGAGGAGAGGAGGGGGAGCGGAGGGGGGACGGAGGGGGGACCGGAGGGGGACAGGAGGGGGACAGGGGGGGGACAGGAGGGGGAGAAAGTGCAGGGAGGGCTGGGTGGCCCGGCCCCGGCCCCGCTCACCTTGCCGTAGCCGTAGTAGCCCAGGCACTGCGCGAAGTCCAGGCCGGCGGGGTCCCCGGCCGCGGGGCAGAAGCGCAGGTCCATGCCGGGCCGGCCGGGGCTCGGGGCGGGCGCCCGCCTCCCTCCGCGCCGCGGGCTCCACCGTCGGGGCGCGGGGTCGGGGCCGGAGGGCGCCGGGCCGGAGGGAGTCCGGGAGCCCGGCCGCCGCACACAAAGGCGGCCACGCGAGCCGGAGGAGCGGAGGCCCCGGACCAGCCCCCCGGGCTCCGGGCCGGGCACCGGGGAGGCGGCGGGCGCTCAGGTGCGCTGGCCGGGCGGGCGGCGGGCGGCGGGCGAGGCTGGGACGGCGGCGGCTGCTGCTCCTCCTCCTCCTCCTCCTCCCTCTCCTCCTCCCTCTCCTCCTCCTCCTCCTCCTCCTCCTCCCTCTCCTCCTCCTCCCTCTCCTTCTCCTCCTCCTCCTCCTCCCGGGCGGACTGAGCCGCGGAGCCGCGGAGACAAGGGGCCCGGCCCCTCCCCTCCGCTCCCCCTCCTGCTCCGCCGCCGCGGTCCCCTCCTCCCCTCCCCTCCCCTCCCCTCCCCTCCCCTCCCTTCCCCTCCCCTCCCCTCCCCTCTTCTCCCCTCCCCTCTTCTCCCCTCCTCTCCTCTCCTTCCCTCCCCGCCCCTCCCCGCGCCGCCGCTCCGCCCCCGGCAGCTGGGCCGCCTGCCCGCCCGGCCGGTGCGCTCCCAGCCCGGCCCTGCCCCGCACAGCCCGGCCTCTCCCTCCACCGCGCCCCCTTCCCTCCCGGCCCGCTTTGTCCCCGGGGCCTGGGGCGCCCCTGTTCCTCCGCCGTAGCCAGCCCCCCCCCTTCCCGCCGGTGCAGCCCCCGAGGCCGGACCCCCACTCCGGCCACTCGCACCCACGTGCCGGCTGCGCCCGTCCCGCCCTCTTCCCATCGCCTCCTGCTCCGCCCGTGGGTGCGGGTCCCTGGCTTCCCCTACCCGCCTCCCCGCCTCACCCCACTCACGCCCCTGCCCGGAGGCACCTAAGCCCGCGGCCAGCCTGCGGGAGCACCCACTCCTGTGGGAGCACCCACTCCTGCAGCAGCACCCACTCCTGCGGGAGCACCCACTCCTGCAGCAGCACCCACTCCTGCGGGAGCACCCACTCCTGCAGCAGCACCCACTCCTGCAGCAGCACCCCCTACCCACACACACACCTGTGGCGGACGGCGGGCCTGACCCTCCCCAGGTGGGCAGCCTGGAGGCCTCCGCTTCGTGTTTGCTTCGCTCTTGTTTGTACTTTTTGTCCCTGGGTCTAAGGGGATCCCTCGCTGCTCCCAGGGAACATGTGCCGTTTTCCTAAAGGTTCTGTCTGGGCGGCTAACTTCCTGGCACTGCACTCAGCCACACACCCCCTAGTTCATTTCTTCCTGTTGCTCTAAGCCACATGCACCCTTTTTCCTCCTCCCCCGCCCCCCCCTGCCCCCCAACTCCCATCCCGCCCTCGGATTGAGTGCCTGGCTCAGCAGTTTGGCCCCCAGCCGGGCCAAGGTGGGGACTTGGCTCAGAGCTGAGGCCTCAGGTGGGAGAGGTGTTTGGGGTTGGCCTGGCCTGGAATGTGCAGATTGTTTTTAGCTGAAAACAATTTAAGCCCAGCAAACTCAGGACCAGCAGCGTGTCCCCTTCCTTCCCCCTCACCTGATTGGGGGGGGGGGGCGCAAATGCCTCAGGAAGGGAACCTTCGAATAGTCACCCCACATAGGAAATCCGTGGGGCCCCCTCCCCCATGATCCAAGCACAAAATCTGTCCCTGCTGCATTGACTCCAGGTGGCCCTGCCAGAACTGTGCTACCTGTTGGCCTACCCCCCTCCCCCACCCCACCCCCTGGCCCCCAGCGTGCCATCTCCTGCGCTCCCCTGGCTGCCTTCGGGTTTTCCGTGCTCATGTGAATCCCCCACGGTGCAGGTACTAAGTCTGCTTTTCCTCCTGTTGCCTGTCATTTGAGTTATGTGACCAGCCTGAAGAACAAGAATGGGGTCCCAGGAAAGTGTCCCATGCCCAGCAGCCCCTCCCCAGGGTGGTGATTTAGGGGGTACTGAACAGGACACGTACAGATTTTTTTTATTCTAGCGCCCATTCACGGGCACGTGGTCCCAGGGGCACACATTGCTGGCCCGGGGCCTGAGCTTTGCCAGCCGGAGCATCCTACAAGGGAGTCCTGACTTCCGTCCTCCCTGGGCCCCTGGGCTCGGTACACCGGTGTAGGCCCCTTCCCAGGCTGGCATCTTTCTGGGACCGGGCAGCGGAAGGTAAACATCCGTTAGGTGAACATTGTGCATTGGCGCGTCTCTTAGCAGAGATGCGTGCCCTGGGACCGCAGCGGGGAGCAGTGTGTGTTCAGGAAGGGACCAGCTGCCCACATGGTCCCTGGGTTGACACCCCCCCAACTACTCCCCACGAATAAGCTTCGGTCTCCCCTCCAGAGTCCCCATGTAACACGGGCAACCCAGCGGCGCTCCCTAAGGGCCCAGCGGGCTGCACGCATTGGCAGTGAGCGGAGACAGCATCAGGGCAGCACCCCATGGAGCAGGTTCTCTGGGCCCTGGGCATGCCCTTGGCCTCTCCGCCAATCAGAGCTGGAGGTCGCAGTGGCCACCTGTTGTCTGGCCAGAGAGCATCTTTCCAGTCTCACTGTGATGTCTCAGAATGGGGTGGAGGCAGCATCTGGCCACAGCAGAGACACAGCCTGCCAGCAGCAGGTACCAAGAGGGAAATGAGGTGGTGGTTGGTTTGGGGGTGTTTTTTCCCCCCAATAGTTGTTCCCAGAGGCCCAGCAGATTGGGAAGCAGAGTTTTTTTCCTGGCACGCTGGCATTTCTCAGGAATCCGAGCTTGATGATTCCAGAGCATGGAGGGAAGGGTCGCCAAAGTTACAGGGAGTCTAAGCTCGATCTGCCACGGCCATCAGACCCCGAGGACCAGGAATACAGATGCTGGCAGTGGCAACCCCCCTAGCTTCAAGACCGGGAATTGCATGGGGGCTTAGGTGTCTTTGCCTTGAACCTGGAGCCCTGGAACCCAGAAAAGGGAAGCGAGGCTCCTGGGAGTTGAGGAGACAGGGTTATGTCCCATATGACCTCTGGGCCATTGTTTTGGGAAAGCCGTCCCCTCAAAATCCCCTCCCTGTTCAGAGGCAAAGGCCTTTGGGAAGAAACTGGTTCCAGGAGTGACTCCTGCTTGGTGGGTGATGGAGGAGGTCCGGGCAGCAAAGTCAGAGTGTGCATCTGGAGTGAGGAGAGGAGAAGGGAAAAGGCAACTGCGATTTGTCTGAAGATATAGATGTATGTCGAGGTCCTTAGGATACAACAATCACTAGAACGGAAACAGGTGGTTTGGGAAGGCTGCTGAACCCCCAGCACTCGGACAGCTGTCTGGGGTGACTGCTCTGAGCCAGACACTGTTGGAGGCTCTAGTGAATGAGAAAGAGGTCCCCAGTGACACACATGGAAGTCCTTCATGGAGATGAATTGGACACTCCACACACATACATGTGCGCACACACTCACATACACTTACATTCACATGCAAACATGCACACGTGACCTGTCCCATGCAGTCCCCTGGAGATTCTGGCCTGACTCGGCTACTATTATACTATGGAGAGGGACAGCCTGGATAAACACATCCCCATATTCGCAGCAGCAAGAGGGCTGCCAAGCTCCGTGCCTCCCTGGTGTTTGTGGAAGGAAGCCCCGGGGGAGGGGGCAGGACAGGCTGTTCAAGCCTCACCCCCACCCCAGCATGATTGTCTCCTGAGAACCTGGGCCAGGCGTGGAACTTACCAGTAGGTGGTTTGCAGTAAATAAATGTTCACTTGGGAACCATGAGAAGGGAGAAAGGGAAAGGGAAGAGGGGAGGAACAATGTATTAAAAGTGGAATATCTTTTCCAGGGGACCTGGCTAGCATAAGATTGGAGGAGCGAGAACCCAGGACCTCAGATTCAGATAGTAACAAACCATCAGGGTGGGGAAGGGGTGCAGGGGCCTTTTGCACTCTGCTGTTCCCCGTCCTTTGTATGCATTCAAAATAGAATTAGGTGTCCTTTTCTTTTTTTTCTTTTCTTTTCTTCTTTTTTAAATATATTTTATTGATTTTTTACAGAGAGGAAGAGAGAGAAATAGAGAGTTAGAAACATCAAGGAGAGAGAGAATCATCGATCAGCTGCCTCCTGCACACCCCCCACTGGGGATGCGCCCGCAACCAAGGTACATGCCCTTGACCGGAATCGAACCTGGGACCCTTCAGTCTGCAGGCCGGCACTCTATCCACTGAGCCAAACCGGTGTCCTTTCCTTTAGAACCGATCTGATGAAGCTCTCCATTGCATTTGGAAGACCGTCTCATTTTGAGGGTTCTAGGGGATTTGCAAACCATCCATTAAAAATGTGACAATGATGCTTTTTAAAAATTGTCATCAACAACTGTAAGTGTCCTGCTACTTGTCATCGTAAAGATATCACCTTTTTCAGCCTGGCAGCAATTATGACTCTGAAACACCACAGACAAAGGTTTCCTTTGTACTCGGTCAGCCCTGAATTAAAGAAACCCCTCCGAGAACACATCTTAGACACGCTTTGCATGTACGCTGATCAGTGGGTTATTGGTTTAGGAGAATGGCATGAGAATCCATTATGCAGCCAAAATATAACTCCCGAGAATAAGGAAGATCTTGTCGGCTATTTATATATGATTTGGATCAAAACTCGGTCTTTATTGTCTTGATGTTTCCAACAGAGTAGGCTGTATCATCCAAGAATCTCTGAAGAATGAGAGAGAAAAATACACAAACTGCGATGGGAAAGCTATTTTACATCTTGACAGGACTCTGAAAACTTTATTTCTTTATTTTAGCTGGCTCTAAATTGAACAAGAAAGTCACCCACAAGAAATGCTGAGTCATAGAATCAACGATCTGACCGGGACCCCCGTGTTGAGGGACCTGCGAGCAGTCGTTGAACTCCCGCGGCCAGCTCTCCCAGATGCGATGAGGATACTCTTAAGCATTAGATACGGTTTAATTTTCTTGAGTTTTTTGGTGATGAAAA